ATCCTCAAACAAGCACCTGTTCTCACTATCCATGTGGGCTACCATGTGTTTGCTCATGTCATCTCTACTCAACACAATCCCACAAATTTGGCAGTCAATTTGAGAATCAGCAGCGCCCTCTTCTGGCTCTCCTTGGTAAAGGGAGGTAACTAGTTGCCTGGGAAACATCTCACTTCCTGACGTCCCAATTCTGAGGTTTCCTGTGCAGAGGAAAAGGTCACTATAAAGTTCTGTTTTCAGTTGTCTTTTCAACTTTCTTCCCCCACAAAAAAGCTCATACCACAGGGATATATAATATTCTGGACAGGATTAACCATTTCCATAATGATCATGATCCAGTGTATGAGAATTCTATACCTCTGACAACAAGATTCTTCATTCACAGTAGCCAAGGACAACCAATCACAATGCAACAGGACAGAAAACCTTCCCTCAAGTGCAACTGACATTTCTTCAGTTTTTTGCCGATCAGATAAGAATGAGTCAGATACATATGCAGAAACAAATGTAAGACTCTGTGCACTATACCTATAGGATGGCCAGACAGACAATACCACACTAGAAAGTTCAAACCACTGAAACATGAGTGTTCCACAGAAGTAATTACCCGTCAATATCACATATCAGTCAATTCAACTAGTCACTTACTATATCTCATGAAAGTTGGTCATTACAAAGCATCGAAGTAGTAATATCAAACTCAGCATTTAATAACAGCATGATTCGATTTAAATGGAAAAATTCGTGCTTTGCAAGTTGAGAAACAAGTCTCCACTGTATTTTAAATGTTTTTTCCGTATCACAACTATAGTTATCTCCAGGTGTCAAAATAAACTTTTCAGTTATCACTGTACATATATATATATATGTATGTCGCTCATCAAGACGAGAGTATAGTGTATCGTGCCACCACGAAACAGATCTCTTTGAAATACACTGTGCACAAATGCGATACACTGAGTACAATGAGTAAAAAGGGAGATAATCCTCCACCAGATCTGTATCAATTCGGCACGATGGCAATAATCAGCATATTATGGGATAGCACAAGGTTAATGTCAAGCAAAGTTGGGTAGATTGCAAAGACTCAACATAAAATTTCATCAACAGTGAAGTGTGGTTTTGCAAAAAAACAACAGCACCATTAATTTGGTGTACTTTCTAAGACCCTCATTTACAAATATGATAAACTTTCTTGCAAAACCATATTTTACTGTGATGACATATACATATGACATACATTCAATTAAAATATTCTACATGTATACTATTTAAAGGAAACATCATAATGTTTGTGTCAGGTCAGGAAAAATATGTGCAAAATAAGTTTTATATTGAAGCAATACCCCAAACTGTCATAAGAATGAACCAATATAAATTGTTGCCAAATACCAAATATATTCAAATACTTATCAAGTTCTAAACAAGAGAAAAGAAATATAACCATATTGTCAAATACATAAAGACTTCTTGGAACACAGTGTACCATATTTGCCATAATAAACCCCATAACAGTGATGTATAAACTCATTTATGAATTCAGTGGTAATATTATTGCGTTCATTCTTTCTCTATGATGTATCTAGAATCCCACAGGTCACCTAGTGTGTTGCATGTTGAATGATGTACAAGTGAGGATGTTATGTTAAATATGGTACACCAGTAAGCATGGTACTGAGAGCTTATTTTGCAGTATTTTACCAATGTTTTTGACCTGGTCTATTGTTGATGAGCTTGGGACGTCCTAGCCCAGGCCACAGTTGAATCAGGAAGCCAGTGTGTGGACTTACCTTGTGATATCAGGAACCACGCCCCCTTCATCGCTATACTGTGGCACTGGGTGTGTCAACATGGCAAGTGACAAGATGGATTATGAAGAGTCAGTCTTACACTTTCTGATTTGGTTTTTCATGAACTTTCAAATGAATAGCTATTTAGTTCATTATCAATCTTGTCAGTCACATATGTGCATAAAACACACATTAAATAATTAGCCTACTCAACATTTCAATAAATATTTAAAATTCAAATGATGAAATGCAGCAATTTGCAAAAGAAAAATTAAGAAAGTGCATTTATGACATCGACATCAAAACATTGTTTGAACAAACTGGTTCCAATCATGTTTGAAACAAATTTTCTGTGAACTCTAATGCACTTTCCAAATACGAACTGTCACAATTTTCACCCATGTTACTTGCTGCATTTCAAAATATGCATCAACAATCAAAAACTTTCAAATGAAATGGAAACATCGTGATTTCTAGTCAGAAACTCATTACAAAATTCTTCAAATTGAGCTCACATTTCTAAACTCTGTTAACTGAATAAAAGGTGATCTTCTATAGCGATCTGTTTATTTTTTCATGTTTAGAATGATGTATCATTTCAAGTGAAGTTCCTGGACTGCTGAGCTTTCAGGCCAGAACTATCATTCATGAGTGCATGTCAAACTAATACAGGACTAAATGAGGGTCATTTTACACCAGGAAGGAGAATTCGAGTACTTTTCTGGCGTGAAAACTGAAATGATGCCAGTTTAATATTGCACACATTTTGTATCAGTGCTGGATCAATCGTCACACCATGTTGAGAACATTGTCCATTAATAATATGTTTAGATGTAGTCAGAAACAGCTTTTGAAAAATCAAGATATACAATCAAGGTCTTACGTTATAACTCAACTAAGGACTTGATTGTTCAACTGAGTGATATCCTACAAATGGACGAAATTTACAACTATTGAATGTTCTACAGTGGCAATCACTGGCAATCACTATCAACTGTACAGAACAATGGACAACACATTCTATTTCATCAAATAAACCAAAGAAGCATCAAATGTTAACAGTATCAAATTCAATATATCATGAATTTTGAAAAAAATGAAAATTTCAAAGCAACCAATCAGCTGCAACAACTTGCGGGTTAAGGGGAGACAATTTACTTGAATTATTTCCCTTTGATATTCTGGAGCTTGAGATAAGCTATGCTATTGCATGAGGTGCTTCATAGCACCGAACGAAACTGTTAAGTTATTTTAATGCATATCTATTATGTGATTTCACGGTAATTATCTGAAAATGACTTAAAAGAATGTGTTAATTCACTTGACCAAAATCATCTTCCCGAGGCAAGAGAGTTAACTGACAATAAAAGTCCAGTTTCCACCCTTGCCAAACTAGGCTGGTATTATGAAGTTACATTTTGGCTGGGCTAACGGGTCTATGCCAAGTCCAATCAAAAAATGCGTAACGAAATCAAAATCCGGTTCGTAAACTGTTGTGATGATTTCAATCGATTGCAGGATTTGTAAAGCATGTGCACCGCCAACTCGTTGTCAACAGATATTTTCCAAATCCTTTTATGATTTTAATCAAGGTGCTCATGTGATTTGATGCACTTTGCGATGTAAGACTCGTTTTATAACAATATTGATCTTGATTATCGATCAGATCATCTTGACTGGGCACCACCATCTTGTTTGAATCAAATGCAAGCGATACGAAAGGTGGAATCTAATTGGTCCATAGGAGAAATTTAGAAGGGTCATAACTCGTATTAACCACTGGTGGCGCTACTATTGAGCCCAGAAATTCCAGCCTAGTTCGGCAAGGGTGGAAACTGGACTTTTACAGTCAGTTAACTCTCCTGCCTCGGGAAGATGGACCAAAATGACAAGTGGCCACAAAAATCTTGGGTGAATTGGATGAAAAATTACTGCAAGTAATAAGAACTTGTCCACAAATTGATGAAATAACACGGAGGTTGGTGACGTCCAGGTACTGCAAGGATTATCGAAGTTTAAAACAAGAACTTGGAGTTTGGTTCTCAACGAATGAAACTGTTCAAGCACTGTACAAAATACAGATAAGCAGGTCAATTCCAATGTAAATTGTAAAGTCTCTGTAACAACTGATATTTTCAATCATACATAAACAAAGGATATATCCGCAGACAAGTAACCTGCATGCATGCACCTAATTCAGTAAGGGGGCATCTGTTTTAAAACTTCCAATTTCACACTTAACATTGAACCATATGGCTAAATAATTTAACACAGAGAAATATAACACTATTGATATTAAAAATGTGTTAAGTTTTCCTGCAAAGTAAGAATAGAACTCCCAGTCATATCATACTCGTATGTTATTTTCAAAGAATGCAGTTCTTTACATTCCCTGGTAAATATATGTTCAAATCTATTTATGTCACAACCCATTTGTCTAAAGTCAGGGGCTACTTGTCTTAATTTCCAATCTTTGGGGAACTCTTTCTGATCACTGTTTATTGAACTGTTTACGGGTCATTATGGTATCTTGTTGAAACACTATATTTGGCAAGTTTCTTGTGGTTATTGACTCTTTTCCAAAGACAACTGCAATAAAAAAATGTCCACTTATCCCCCAGAATGACAATGCCCAACCCCTACCAAAACACATAGGTTTCAGGTTTCCTGACTGTCCCTGATCTGATGTCCCCAAACCTGAACCTTTTCCTGTCTTTCCCTGAGTTGCACTATAGCTTTCATAACCCCCCAGTATATGCCACAATGTGTTCAATTCGCTACCAAGTGTGAAACCAGCTTCATCTTACTTTTACTGAATACTGCAAATTACAGTTCTTTAAAGAAGAAAAAACACATCTCAAAATAACCTACCTACCCTGTTCTGGATGGGCTTAAATAGGAAACACATGTGTGTTTTCTCTGGCCTTAATATACTTTCTTTGTGGGCAAAGAATTATTTTAATGTCTCAAGTGTTTCAGAATTCTTTTCTTTCCTGTTCTAGCCCAAGCCTTACATGAATAACTTAGGAAACATATATTCATGTAGTTTTTTAATTTATTACCTCAAAAAAAGCCCACTATATTCCCATTATCAGGGTTAAGCCTAGAACTCTTAACTACAATTTGCTTTCTCTCAATATGTGAATGTATGAGTTACCTTGGAATTGACCAACTTTTCTGACAAAGAGAATTGAAAGTATCAATAATTACCTTCATTGTCAAAGTCTGCATCATTGTCGTTATCACAGTCGTTATCATCTTGTTCTTGAAACACTAAAAAGTCATCTGCACTTTGGTCACCATGATGAACTTGACTAGTACTGGGTTCGGCGTAATCTGGCACATGTGGAACGTTTTGATGGAAAGACGAAGATGAAGAACCGGGTGATTGAGAATGTGATGATTGTGGATGAGAGAGTCGATCTAGAGCTGCTTGGGACGTTTGCGTATGAGGTACATCTGATGAATAATCTATTTGCATGTATGGAGTCTCTTTCTTTGGCACAATGTCATCCGGTTCTGGATCTGGTTCTATTTCTATTAAATCTGGATCTTCTGGTTCTAGTTTCACATTGACACGAGAGTCACTTGGAGTTCTAGAATGCAATTGTTCTGAGGTACGAGAATTATTCTGATTTTGAAATTGAACTGGTGTATTTCCCCTCGAGGTGTCTGAATAAGAAGTCCTACTGCTCTTTGCAGGAGGTGATTTCACTGAAGCAGAAAAATCTCGTGATCTTTTGGCAGGAAATGACATGGAAACAGAATGTGAAGGTGCTTCAGAATAGTAACTTTCCTGAGGCATTAATGTGCGATCCACATCAAATATAGAGAGTTTTAATGTCTTACATTCACTCTTTGATATCATGCTTGCATCAGACGACACACCGTCCACTTTGAACGTCAATTTGTTTGATCTTAAAGCCACCTGAATACTGGCGTCTTGCGTTGTGCCATATGAGTTCACTGACGCCGGGAATTCAAGATTGGATCTTGGTCCCTTCTTCAAAGTAGAAAATAGGTCACACAAATCTATTGGAATAGTGAACTCGAGCGTTTCGATAAACATTGTTGCAGATTATGCTTGTTGTCCTTTCCTCAAGAATATAAAAGTTTCACTTCAAAAGTTTCAGCAGCGAACAGGTTTGCAGGTTTCAGAGCTCATACATTTAGCTATTTCTGGGCCTTTATGCAAATGAGACTCCACGCCATGTTCAACCGGTCTCCTTCCTTCTTTGTTACAGCTTAGGACACTGAAACAGATAACGATACAGTTACCATAAGATGCTTGTCGGTTACGAAAACATTATGTCACAAGAAAAATGAAGGCATTCTGAACAGTACTTACATTCGTAACGGTTATAAACCTTGATACAGGTGCGCGCTAAATTTATTATTCACAACGCCATTGTTGTCGAGTCCTACGTTGAAGCTCAGGGCGACGCTTGCAAGGTGTGACACGTGGACTTGTTGTATTCACGGGAGTCGGCACAGAGAGGCGCTGTCGCAGTGAGGAGCCCAACCGGAATTTTCCGGAACATTTTTCTGTACTACTAACCTAACGGCATATTACAACTATGCACACATAATATGGCGTCTGCTGGTTCATGACACGCTGTTTCTCATTTCTTACAGGATTAAAATTACCCCCGTAGCTTTGCACCTTTTTGGGGGGATGGTGCTTAAGTCTATTTTCACTAAATGTAAATTTCCATGTTAAATTTGGGGAACAATACTTACGTGAGTATGTATGTTTTACCTTAAAGAAAGCAACCTTAGGTAATCGTTCTTCCGTCTAGTGGCAAGCGAAACTATTTTTTAAAAAGATATATTCAAACAGTTTATCATGAACTACATACATTTAATATCTGTATTTTATTTGCTATAACAGCTTTGCTATTGCATAATGACGGCTAATTGTACCAGTTAAATAGCACAACACGCAACTGTAGCATGGCCCAATCGTAGGAAGAGGGGTGGATTGTAATTATTCGGAGCGCAAAAAGGTCAGAAAAAGTTTACCGATAAAAAAAGCAATAACAACAGATAAGAAGAAGACTGGAAAGTAAGTGAGTGAATCGTTACTGTTACAATGAAGCACTGTTAGCCCCCTGTCTGTTGTGCATGAACATCGATATGCAGGCTTCGTTAATACGGAAATGTATTCACTTCAATACTTGACTTGCCTTTGCACGTCTTTGTGACGGGTGCCACTGGTAGGACAGGATAAGCTCACATTTTCGACCTGGTTACATGACTAACTGACCCGTGAAGATCCGGGGTAGAATAGGTCTTCAGCAACCCATGCTTGCCGTAAAAGGTGACTATGCTTGTTGTAAAAGGCGACTAACGGGATCGGGTGGTCAGGCTCGCTGACTTGGTTGATGCATGTCATCGATCCCAATTGCATGGATCGATGCTCATGATATCAACCACTGAAAAGTATCTCACGACAGTCATGGTGATAACTATCTCACGACAGTCCTGGTGATAAGTGTGTTACGACTGTCATGGTGATAAGTATGTTACGACTGTCATGGTGATAAGTATGTTTCGACTGTCATGGTGAGAAGTATGTTACGACAATCATGGTGATAAGTATCTTACAACTGTCACATTGATAAGTATCTCACGACAGTCGCGGTGATAAGTATGTTACGACTGTCATGGTGATAAGTATGTTACGACAGTCATGGTGATAAGCATGTTACGACTGTCATGGTGAGAAGTATGTTACGACTGTCATGGTGATAAGTATGTCACGACAGTCCTGGTGATAAGTATCTTACGACAGTCATGGTGATAGGTATGTTACGACTGTCATGGTGATAAATATGTTACGACTGTCATGGAGATACGTATGTTACGACTGTCATGGAGATACGTATCTCACGACAGTCCTGGTGATAAGTATCTCACGACAGTCATGGTGATAAGTATGTTACGACAGTCATGGTGATAAGTATCTCGCGACAGTCCTGGTGATAAGTATGTTACGACAGTCCTGGTGATAAGTATGTTACAAAAGTCCTGGTGATAAGTATGTTACGACTGTCATGGTGATAAGTATGTTACGACTGTCATGGTGATAAGTATGTTTCGACTGTCATGGTGAGAAGTATGTTACGACAATCATGGTGATAAGTATCTTACAACTGTCACATTGATAAGTATCTCACGACAGTCGCGGTGATAAGTATGTTACGACTGTCATGGTGATAAGTATGTTACGACAGTCATGGTGATAAGCATGTTACGACTGTCATGGTGAGAAGTATGTTACGACTGTCATGGTGATAAGTATGTCACGACAGTCCTGGTGATAAGTATCTTACGACAGTCATGGTGATAGGTATGTTACGACTGTCATGGTGATAAATATGTTACGACTGTCATGGAGATACGTATGTTACGACTGTCATGGAGATACGTATCTCACGACAGTCCTGGTGATAAGTATCTCACGACAGTCATGGTGATAAGTATGTTACGACAGTCATGGTGATAAGTATCTCGCGACAGTCCTGGTGATAAGTATGTTACGACAGTCCTGGTGATAAGTATGTTACAAAAGTCCTGGTGATAAGTATGTTACGGCAGTCATGGTGATAAGTATGTTACGACAGTCATGGTGATAAGTATGTTACGACTGTCATGGTGATAAGTATCTTATAACTGTCACGTTGATAAGTATCTCACGACAGCCGCGGTGATAAGTATGTTACGACTGTCACGGTGATAAGTATGTTACGACAGTTCTGGTGATAAGTATCTCACGGCAGTCCTGGTGATAAGTATGTTACGACAGTCATGGTGATAAGTATCTTATGACTGTCATGTTGATAAGTATCTCGCGACAGTCCTGGTGATAAGTATATCATGGCAGTCCTGGTGATAGGTATGTTACGACTGTCATGGTGATATGTATCTTACGACTGTTATGGTGATACTTATTTTACGACAGTCATGATGTACTGGTGCCTATGTCTGTGACGTGCACACGAGGATGGAGGTAAAGATGACAAGCCGTTCTGAAGTTTACCTAGTCTCTCCAGAATAGGCAGCCCTCCTCATTTCACTCAATATTGGATAAAAATCTATAATTGATTAAGCGTGGCCTCATACTCGGTCAAAATAAAACACATGCCTAAAGTAGGTAGCAATCAAGAAGTTCACACATGAGTCGTGACCATGAACACGTGACATCCCGGAACTCCTCTTGCAGTTCACTGAATGAGTGACTTTTAGCAATATTCCAGCAATACAACGGCGGGGAACACCAGAAATGGGCTTCACACATTGTACCCTTGTGGGAATCGAACCCGGGTTTTCGGCGTGACGAGCGAACGCTTCAACCACCTGGCGACCCCACCGCCCCTGCAGTTAACTGAAAGGGGCGTGTGATGACAGTCCCTTCCTCGACACAGATGATGTGACTGTATAACATTTCTTCTTCGCTCCATAAGGCGCATGAATGTTGTATATAATCGTCATATTCAAGCATACTCGGAATGCGGAATGTCCGGGGTTCGATCTACGGCCGCGTCATGCCAAAAGACGCGAAAAGATGGTACTTGTTAGCCTGTCTGGCGCTCGGCATTAAGGGGCTAAAACAAGGCGTCTTACCATACTGGCTTGGAGTCAGTATACTGTGCAGCTGGGGTATTCATGTTAAACTGCGGCATGGTATCCCAGTGAGCTAGCACTATAAATCGGCATCAGTCCGGACTAGTACAAACAGCCACACATACGCACGCACACCGCCACAAACACGCACGCACGCTATATAGGTGCAATAATCTTGCACGAGACGTTAAACCCAATTTCACCACACCTCACCTCCCCTTATATCTCGGGGAGAAGAAGGGAATAGGTCATGGGACTGTATCCCCCCCCCCCCCCCCCCCCTCCCACACACACACATGTTATGTTTTTTCTTCCATTTTCCCATGTAGGAGTTTTACTAGATAAACTACACATTAAATGAAACAAATCAGTAAATGGTTATTCGTTGGAAAAGATACGGGTACCATATTTGTGTTTTGGGCCTTAAGTTTGCATTGTTTCGGCTACCGTTTTGCAGCTTTTGGGAAAATGTTTGCAATGTTTTTGTCAAATCCATTTTTTATGTGTATACTTTCATTCCGGCAGTTTAGATATATGTTTACAGCAACCATATTTACAACAGTCAATAAAAAAGTAAAACTAATTTATTTTTCATACTCTCAAATACAGTAGGAGTAGTACAAAAACACCAGGCGTTTTTCAGTGTATAAGTATATCTACATAGTTCATAAGTATACTACAAGGCATAATGCTTCAGCCTTCCAATGAACAAATATTTACTTTACATAGCACTAAAATACAATAATTTTTCATAGTGGTTATTCAGTGCTTGATTTATAGGTTCTTATTTACAGGCCAAAAGGTAAACAGACTTTAACAATTTGATCATTCATATTTCTGAATATCAAATGCTCCGTTCACCAAAAGTACTTGGATCAGTACTTGGCCCCTCAGTACCCATACGGCTTCTCTTCGTGATATTGTGAGATCTTTCAACTTAAACAGACTTTAACAATTTGATCATTCATATTTCTGAATATCAAATGCTCCGTTCACCAAAAGTACTTGGATCAGTACTTGGCCCCTCAGTACCCATACGGCTTCTCTTCGTGACATTGTGAGATCTTTCAACTTGGGTGTACACCTGTACGCAGATGGTACCCAGATTTACCTGGCATTCAAGCCACCGGACTCTACTTCACCAGAATGCTCGTTTTCATCAAGGGTGTGTTAACGGTATTAAAAGGTGGATGTCTTCAAATTATCTAACGCTCAAACGATGAAATACCCTCATTGTCTCTGTACCTCATACACTTCAGGGCCCGTGAAGATTCCGGGGTAGAATAGGTCTTCAGGAACCCATGCTTGCCGTAAAAGGCGACTATGATTGTCTGATCCAGACTCGATTATTTACAGACCGCCGTCATACAGCTGGAATATTGCTGAGTGCGGCGTTAAACAACAAACAAACAAACAAACAATCATACACTTCAGAAAACACATTCGCCTCCATAATTCTGTCTTGGCAAAAGTGAAATCACTGCTAATTCACCATTTCGCAACATCATGGTTTTTGTTCGATCCCCCCTTAGTATGGAACCACGCATCAACTGTCGGAGAGCGTATTTTCGTCAGCATGATCCGCAGATACTTGGATGTTAAAATAACATCTGCACTAGTTCGGGTTTATGCTCCCATTTCACTACGACCACGAATATCCCGAATCACCCCGAATAGGAATTTCTTCATGTTCGTAGATAAATCTCAATCATTTCTTGAAATTCTTAAATGAATCTTATTTCATTCCCAAAGATTCGTACAGTTCGCGGGAGTTTGTCGAATCGGCGAGAAAGTTTTTGTTTGTCAAAAACTTTCGTGAAATGGTCCTCGAATTGCAATTTCGTGGCTGTATCGTAATCAATTCGTAATTAATTTTTATGTTCCGTAACAGCTTCGTAATGGATTCTTTTGCATTCTTGGCTATTCTTAGCGATTCGTGGCTCCCAAAATTTCTTGTCCTTATTCCGAAAATATCCCGAAACAGCAACGAATGTCCCCAGTCAACTACGAATCATGTAAGAATTATGTAAGAACATTCGGCATATTCGTAACTTAGTCGTAGGTGATTCTTACAATTCGTGATCCGTGCATGAATCTTGTAATTCGTACATGTTTCGTAACCCATTCCTGGCATTCTTCATGTTTTTCAACCCAATTAATTAGCCACGAAAGTTTGCATTATTGGCCGAAACATCACGAATTTCGAAAGTTTCCGATTTGGGATATTCCTGTTCGTATTGAAAGTAACATCTTGCCACGATTACTGCAAGTCCCTACTCTTTGGTCTCCGGAATCATCTTTTGCCCAAACGACGTGAATGCAGCTGCAAGATTGATCACCAGAACTTAAACGATTGAACTCATCACTCCAGTCATGAGAACTCTTCATTGGCTTCCCCTCAAGTTCAGAATCCAGTACAAGATCCTTCGCCATGTTCACGAGAGAGTGTAAAGACAAGCCAAACACTGTCTGTCTCAGCTTCCAAATCCCCACCAGCCAACTAGATCTCTCCGCTCCAGTGACCAGTCTCTTCTTCGGGTTCCGCAGACAAGAACAAAATCACCTGGTGACAAATCGTTGTCCATCTTCCCGAGGCAAGGAGTTAACTGACTTTGAAAGTCACCAATGGTTATTACGAGTTATGTCCCTTTTAAGCCTCTCCTATGGACCAATCAGATTCTACCTCTCGTATCACTTGCATTTGTTTCAAACAAATCGGCGGCGCCCAGTCAAGACGGTCTGATCGATAATCAAGATCTATATTGTGATAAAACGGGTCTTACATCGCGAAGTGCATCAAATTAGAAACATGAAAAGACTTTGACATTATCTGTCCACAACGAGTTGGCGGTGCACATGCTTTGCAAATTCTGCAATCGACCGAAATCTGCACGACAGTTTACTAACCGGATTTCGATTTCGGTGCGCGATTTTGATTGGACTATGCATAGACTCGTTAATCCAGCCAAAATGTAACTCCACAATTCCTGCCAGTTCGGCAAGGGTGGAAACTGGACTTTCATAGTCAGTTAACTCCCTTGCCTCGGGAAGATGATTTTCTGAATGTGAACATTTCACTTGGACCAAAGTACCACTAAACCTTCAATCGACAGAAGAACTCTTGGCCTTTAAGGGTCAACTCAAAAGTCACCTTTTCACCTCAGCTTATGCATGAGAGACAAAGTGGAGTCAGTGAGCGAGTGTGTGTGTGTGTGTGTGTGTGTGTGTGTGTGTGTAAAAGTCAAAAAGACTTTCTTCTGAGACAATTGACAAATAGTTACATCTCGTAGTGTTAAAAAATTGAATAATTTCTCGTTTTATGCATTCTCTGTTTCGAATAGGTTCTCTTGTACTACATCTGGAAATGTTTTCTTAATTAGAATAAAATGTTTACATTTATAGGATTATTGTATAAAACAGAAAGCTGTGATTGAATTGAGTCACCCACCATTAGGAAATCTATGATGCTTATGAGTAATACTTACAGTTGCAGCGGGAGAAATTATAACTCTTGTACTTTCAGTCTTATGTACATAATTATATAGAATCAATATCAAACGTGAGATAGAAAATATTCTCTTTGTAAGAGACGCCTAATGGGATCGGGTGGTCAGACTCGCTGACTTGGTTGATGCATGTCATCGTATGCCATTTGAGTAGATCGATGCTCATGATGTAAATCGCTGGATTGTCTGGTCCAGATTCGACTATTTACAAACCGCCGCCATATAGCTGGAATATTGCTGAGTGCGGCGTTAAAAAAAAATTTGGAACTTATTAAATACTCCGTAGATGATTTTGTCTCATGTTCTTTTACAGTCACAGTAATACCTGTCGATTCCGGGGCGTTTTATATCCATGTTATTTATCGGTCTCAAAACGATGCCACGGTGTCGAAAAGGTTCAGGTGTTTATCATAGACGAGGTGAAATAGGGTTCGCGGCCAATATTATTGCACTTTTATAGCGACTGCACGTGTGTGTGTGTGTGTGTGTGTGTGTGTGTGTGTGCTTGTATTAGTCCGGCCTGATGTCGATTTAATAGTGCTAACCCACTGAGACACCATGCCGAAGTTTCACATGAATACCCCACTCAGACACAGTACAGTATACTGACTCCGAGCCGACCAGTCCTTCTTTGATCCCCTTAATGCAGAGCGTCAGGCAGGGTAACAACAAGTACCATCTTTTAACGTCTTAGGTATGAGGCGCCGGGGTTAGAACCTTGGACCTTCCGCTCTCCATGGTGGACGCTCTGCAACTAGTACAAGGAGGCGGTCTGTTTATCATCAGGAAATAGAGGGTCGAGGATGACTTGTCGTTTCTACCTCTGGCCCAGAAGAGATAGTTTGTCGCCCAGATCCGAGAGAATTGAGCTGATTCGTGGTTGGTCTGTACCGCATCCGTCTTGACCAGTTGACCGATAACTTCACCCTTTCAAGTCGTGTATGCATTAATCAACAGAAACAACAACACATTTCCGTTTGGCTACAGCTCTTTATTGTAAATCCTTTGTTATGATATATGGCTTCTTATTCTTCCATCCACCGATAGGTGTCGCTTCGCGCAGCGCAGCGAGAATTGCGCCGAACACAAGTCAATCCAGTCGAGATTATAGTCCATAATCCGCGAAGAAAAAAGCCTATCCATATTTCAGTACTTTCGAAATTGGAGTGTTGTTCTCTTAAAAGCGATAAGTTGCATGACCAAATTATATAACCAACTCAAGGTTTGTAACATCATGTCAGATATCTGTTTCATCAGATCACATTATTCGAATAATAAATTAACCATCGTTTGAAAGGACCGGAGTAAAAAAGTTAATAAACAGTAAATTTGTGTGACCGTATAATAATAATAATAATGATAATGGTATGATGATGATGATGATAATAATTCTATTATTATTATTATTAAGCATTTAAAGCAGTAATATTTTTTACATTTAAATCTGTAAATAATAATAATAATAACAACAACAATAATAATAGAATTATTATCATCATTATTATTATTATTATTTACAGATTTAAATTAAAAATATATTACTGCTTTGAATGCTTAATAATAACAATGAACTCTCCTCCAGCCCTGTTGATGTGAAGAATATGTGCACATAGAACAGTGACCGAGTTAATGTGTTAACACTAATTTCATGTGGTTAAACTTTTCGGTTGAATGTACCACGCTATTGTCGATGCTGTGTCGTGTAATAAAATAAATGTTGATGAACCGACATTTGATTTTACCCATTTCAAATGTCGAAATACAGGTTTGGCGAAAAGACCTATGTTTTATTATTGATTCCGTTTAACTAGTAGACGGAATATTCGAAAAATAAACTGAAAGCATTGCCTCTTCAGCGTTGCCTCTTTACTAAATTATATAAAACATTGCAAACGTAATTATTATTTGAATCGGCTGTTGTTATTATCCCAACAAGAAGAATGAATACAAAATTGTGTTTTTTTTATTTATTAAAATTCAGGCTGTCGTTCACGTCGTGTGTGTTTTTATTGATACTAGTTGTTTGGCGAATGGTATGATATTAATAACCGGAAGTATCGTTGAAGAAGCCGACATTGTTATAGGGAAGATAGGAAGACTGAATTTTGATGAAAATACGCAACATACTCGAAGTAAATGAAGCGATAAATGGTGCAAAAGTCGCTTAATACAGTCTTGCAACATACTACGCATAATATCTTCAGAAATCTGTTCGATGTATTCGGACAGACACGTGTGATTGCAGATCGGCTTTCGAGGGAAACAATGCATGGCGATTTGAGCGCGCACCTGCCCATGCTGTGTCATTCATGGTGATTTCGAATCGTTCGACTCTTCTCGAGACCGGTATTAAGGAAGCTGTATTGTGATATTTTTGTGTGTTGCTGTAGTAAACAGACTCAAGCATGTTCATCGAAACATTAGAATTCACAATTCCAGTGGATTTGTGTGACCTATTTTCCACTTTGAAAAGGGGGCCAAGATCTAATCTTGAATTCCCGGCATCCGTGAACTCGTATGGTACAACGCAGGATGCCAATATTCAAGTTGCTTTAAGATCAAACAAATTGACGTTCAAAGTGGACGGTGTGTCGTCAAATTCAAGCATGATATCAAAGAGTGAATGTAAGACATTAAAACTCTCAGTGTTCGATGTGGACTGTTCCTTAGCCCCAGCAGAACAACCGAACATCATAATGTCAATGTCTGAAAATATACATCATTCAGTAACTCATAAGAGATCGTATGACTTTTCTGTGCCAGTGTCTTCTCCTGCTCCAAAGAGTCGAAGGATTTCAGAACCAGTGCAATCTCGCCACATTCCTCAACCTCAACCTCAAAACACTTCACGTCCGTCCAACAACTCTGAATCAAAATCTGCAATTGACCCTCCAGTTAATGTGAAACAAGAACCTGAAGATCCAGATTTAATAGAAATAGAACCTGACTCTGAATTGAATGATATCGTGCCAAAGAAAGAGACTCCATACATGCAAATAGACTTCTCATCAGGTGTACCTCATACGCAAACGTCCCAAGCAGCTCTAGATCGACTCTCTCATCAACAATCATCGCATTCTCAATCGCCCGCATCTTCATCCTCATCCTTCCATCAAAACGTTCCACATGTGCCAGATTACGCCGAACCCAGTACTAGTCAAGTTCATCATGGTGACCAAAGTGCAGATGACTTTTTAGTGTTTCAAGAAGACAATGACTATGGCGACGATAACGATAACGAAGCAGATTACAGTAACGACGGTAATTATCTATTTCTGACCATTACTTTTAAGAATTGCTGGTCATTCCTGATGCAGAGCTGTGTGATATTGGTGTGAATAGGCTGAGAAAGATGTTGCTGAGGGTGGGGGAGATGTATTTCACTTGTGTGGAATTTACAAACCTATAGAACTAGCCTGATAAACTTAACTCGAAAATGACATCAGTCTTTCCGGGAGGAAGCAGTGATCTTTTTTCAAATTCATCATGTGCCTTCTCATGCTTAGTTTACTTGGTATTTTTACAGGGTGGTCAAGTGTAGTAATTGGTAATTAAAAACAAACTTTGCCTGAAATATTTCCAACAGTAAAGGGACACCCCACTCAATAGCCTTCTACTGGGATACCTCTAACATTATCCACACTGTCTGGGGCTTGCATGCTAGTGTCCCTTTTCATCCCTACCAAGCATTGCCAAGAGTACAAGACATGTATGAAAAGAATATTTACGATGATATACTTTGCCGAAGTAGATATTGACAAGTGCATCATTACACACATTTGGTTTTAAGTCCTGAAGAAAATCTATTTTACAACATGGTCGAGAAATTGACCTGCTGTGAATTCCCAAATTCGATGATAACATGCAAAAACAAATTGGGAGCTAAAAGGTTGTAAATTCACAAGGGACTAACGGTCAGCTTGGAAATCAATCTGAAGACTTCAGGTTGTGCTGTGTTGGTATAGGCAAGATTTCAGGGCCAGAGTTCTATCTGAAAGAACAAAAAAGTTTTACTGAGGGGGGATTTGACATTTCAGAAGGAAGAAGGTATCAGGACTTGTGAGTTTTGAAGCATGTTGGGAATGACTGGCAGTTCTAGATTTTGCACAGTGTTCGATTATTCTCATTGTCAAGAATACAAAATGATTAGTTTTCTTCAAAAACAAAAGATGTGAAAATGGAAAGAATGATATTGTGGGCACTTTTTGAAATTTTAATGACATTGTGATGACAAAACAAAGTTGAATCTGCAGTACACATCAGTGGTGGATGGCTTGAACAATATTGCCACATGTTCCACCCTGTCCCTATTTTGTTCTGTTTTGACACATGCAGGGGTGGTGGGGCAAGTCTTTTTCACAGAATACTACATTCTTGACAGCATGTGACAACAATCTAGCACTGAAACAGAATCTAAGCATTATTTGATTTCTCATGGGCACAGTGAATCACATTACAATTAAGATGATGATATAGTGTTTGTGCGAATCCCAGTTTGTGCGAATCCAGCAAAAATGTAATGTGGACATAAAGCAATGTTTCACTTTCAGTGACAAAAAATATTTTGCAAGTTCTCAGATTAACTGAGTCACTGATTATGGTGAAGTGTGTTATTTATTTGGTATTTTAAAGTCTTCTGAAAAGGTTATCATCTCAGCCTGGAACTGATCAACTTTTGTTTCAGTCTTTGCTGTTATGTTGTTTAACACCCCCCCTTCTCTCTCTCTCTCTCCCTCTCTCCCTCTCCTCTCCCCCCCCCCCAAAAAAAAATAAAATAAAAAAAAAATAAAAAAAAAATAATAAAAAAAATTGAGCAGTCATCTTTGTTGCAGTGTGCTAGCTGTGCCTGTTTTGTGTTGGTGTATTTGAATGAGATAAATGTGTAATATGAGAACAACCAACACAGTTTCTGAAGTAAAGTTAACTATCCGATATTTAGCTACAAGTGACAATGTTGATGTATGGCTGTTCACTACCATGTGAATCGGGTAAATCTCTTTTTGGACTGTTTATCAGCTCTTTTGATTGACAATGATTTCATAAACTCATTCAGTGGTAATGGTGTATTGACAATTATATCTGTCATTGATGGAATTGTTTTCTCTGCTGATTTAATGTAATTGTCGCAGTGGCATTGAATTGCTGTGTGGAGAATAATTGAAACAGGTTCTTAAAAAATTGCATTCAGCAAGGACTGTTTTTGGTAATGGTCATCATCAGTCTTGTCACTTGTCATGTTGACACACCCAGTGCCACAGTACAGCGATGAAGGGGGCGTGGTTCCTGGCATCACAAGGTAAGTCCACACACTGGCTTCCTGATTCAACTGTGGCCTGGGCTAGGACGTCTCAAGCTCATCAACAATAGACCAGGTCGAAAACAATGGTAAAATACTGCAAAATAAGATCTTAGCCACAGGTGTACCATATTTAACATAATTATTTCCTGATGGGATGATCTCTGATGGTGTATTATATCCTCAAGTACAGGTCATGTTCATTAACACATGCTCTAGTAGTTAAACACAACAAACAATGCCATTGACAGCTGATTGGATGGTTTGTAGATGACAGTCTTCAGTGATTGGTGGTTTCTTCACACACATGTATACACACAGGTTTTGATTGGCTATTGATTATGTTGATTATGGTGCACTGTTTGGAACACAGGATGAACAGCAAATTCTTCATGTTCAAATTTGGTAGTTTATTTACAGGCTTATTTTGCATATTTTTCCATGACCTGACACACACAGGTTTTGATTGTTTTGGGTAGACTATTGTGGTCTGTGTGAATATTTTGAATGCTAATTTTGAAAAATATCTTAAAATGTCCATATTTTCTTTTGGAGATTAAAAAATAAGTGATATTTGATGGCGACGCATGAAAATATTGACACAACCATGGCTATGTAATATAACATTGGTGTGATTTAAATAAAAATATATATTTAAATTTATATATAAGTTGGGCATAACATTTTCTAAACTTGATCTTTACAGATCTTGTTTCTGATTGCGTTCTGAAATAGAGCAATTGCATAAAAAAACATGCTTTTAGTATTGTACTGATCATGTTGCTTATATGCCGATTGGCTTTGAAGTTGACAGATTGAATGAGGGGGTGGGGGGTGCATTATCCTTGATATCTTGTACACTAGCCTGTGCATTCCCTGGTGAATGTTGATGCGATGTTGTGGATGCAACAGTGGAATGGATTGTCGATACATTTGCAGTAAATATTCAGACTTGACTATCAAATCTCAAACAAGGATTCATCTTCACACTATGTATGACAAGATGTCTTTCCTAAGTATTTGAAGGTTTGGAGTTGATGTGCTTGATGGTCATGATGTGGATTCAACAAGAAACAGTTCTGAATCTGTTATTGATGTGTGGAATACTATTGTTCCTATGATCTTGTCTTGCGTCACTTGGTTGTCTTCGCTTGTGGTTAAGAAAAGCATTGGCACAGATAGTACTGGAAGCTGGACTACAGCTGAAGACAAGTGTAACATGCAGAAACTGTTCGAAATATTTTTGAAACCCAACAAGACTCAGGTTACTCATACGGGTTGCCTGTCCATCTTCAAAGTTACCTGCCTGCACTGAGACATTAATATTGAAAAAATACACAGAATTCGAGACAAATCGCGTCATGATTCAGTTGTAATAATGCAAGCTGTCATTTGAGAATCTACAAGTTATAATCAAACTGAATTCTTAAGTAGTCTTAAACTTATCAGCCAGACAGTCGGGCAGGTGGAGGAAAATTTCATGCGGCCCGACGGAAAAGTGATCAGATACGGGCAGGCAGTTATTTCGGACATTACAAGAAATCTCTTTTGTTAGTTTTGTTCATCGGTTATGGAATACAGTTTGTCATCTATCATGAGCAAGCATATTTCCTGAACTTATAATACATGTACCTGGAATCGCGGTCTGATGTTCTCTTGGCTCTTAATGAAATATTTGCAAACTGGAAAAAACACAGAAGCAAGATCTCTCCCCCAAACTACACATTACATTTCCAAGGGTTGGCCAGACCCGCTCGACTGCTGAAAGTCATCTCCAAGTCTGCAGCAAATGTCAAACAAAATCCTAAGATTGGAATTAAAAAAGTCTCAGTTCATGTTTGTACAGTTGTATTTATTGTTGTTGCTTCGTAGAGGTACTTGTATACCACTGATAACAGGACCAATAAAAAAGAAGAGGCTTTTATGCTTAGTTGATACTATTGCACTGAATACATAAGAATTTGGGAAAGTAATAGCTTTCAAAATATCCCAAATAATGATTTTTCGAATTTGCCTGCCAAAGGCGCTTAGTTTACAGGGATGAGAATCTTCCGGGTATCCACAGATTTTAGTGACCACAAGTTTGTTAAAATCTGATTTCTTCCCCCATAAACAGCCCCAAATAATGGACCACGCTCCATTGCAAAGATGTTCCAGCTGAAAGGGAAAATATCAATTCTCATCCCTGAGTTTAGAATCCAAGACCAGTCCATGAGTAAAGCTTGGCAGATTGGGTAGCTATCTCTTCAGATCAGTGTGAACATGCTGTAAAAACTGCTATTATGTGAATGAATGCTGTAATTGTACATTTCATACCAAAGTAGTATGGTCAAGTGTAGTTGTTTGTCTTAGGAGGTGACTAACAGGATTGGGTGTCAGGCTGGGTGACTTGGTTGATGCATGTCATTGTATTCCAATTGCGTGGAACAATGCTCATGATATCAATCACTGGATTGTCTGGTCCAGATTCGATTATTTACAGACCGCCATCATATAGCTAGAATATTGCTGAGTGCGGCCTCAAACAACAAACAAACATACATTATAGGTGTCTGATAAACTTGGTTATATCCCTATGAGGAGGTGTAAAATGAACTACGGATTGAATAAAAAATTATGTGAACAGCAGTTTATATGGAAACTCTGCCTGCTCCAGAACATGGGTAGATGTGATGTGGAGGTTTTGTTTCAAATTCTTCTGGTTGAGCAATCAATCTGTCATCCCGATTTCTTGCCAGAAGCAATTAGGGCTGGGACGATACACCAACTGTGTGATCCGATACGTATCACGATACTTGCGTGTGCTCTTATCTGTGGCCTGTAAGCCATCTTTTTCATAGACAGGATGGCCAAATACCTGGAACACTAACAATTTACAGCTGGCAGGGTGAAGTATGGCACACAACGGATGAAAGTATTTGCATTTTTCACTAACTTTCACGACTAATTAGTGTCTAGAATAAGTTATTCAAGCAAACATTTAAGGTAAGAATCAATATTTTTTACTTGGTGTGCAACTTTGATCGATACTTGTATCGGGAAGTAAAAAATCGCGGTCCATCGATGTATCGTCCCACCACTAGAAAACAATGTTGAATGAGGAAGACGGGATATTCCATGTGTTGTTGTTCTGTTCATACATTCTGACAATGGCTTTCCCATTGTTCTTCAGTTGCTGGCCATAGTTTGGAAAACCACATCTTTCGATTGGCGAGAGTGTGTCGAATATGTGGGAAAAGTGCCGCCCATGGATCCACCAAATTGAAATACTGTCAGGAGCTAAGGGAGTTATTCCAGATTGACGTAGACACTGATAAGGACGATGTCCACCCACAGAAGATCTGTGTTCCTCATAGGCAGATGCTGTACCGTTACAAGTACGCCAAGTCGGTTGGGAAGGGCTACAGCACATCCTCAGTCGCTGAGCAGTTCTTCCCGTTTCATGAAAATGATACCTCTTGTGTTGTTTGCTTCCAATAAATCGTTTCATCAGCTAACGAATGCAGGGATTTAGCCAGGCCAATATTCGGCTCAATGTCTTCAACAGCAGTTGTTAAAACCTAAATTGAAATGGCAAATTTCCCAATGTAGGTTATCAAGATCATAAATTGTCTTTGCTAATCGGAGGTTACTTGAGTTTGATTAATAACGGATCCAAGGGAGAGAATAATGTATTGATTAGTTATGCATTATTCCACTGAATGCAAATGTTAAATTACAGCTTAAAAAAATTAGGAAAATAATATATAGGAACTTTAATTTTTTCCCCAAATATTTTCTTCTTTCAATTTCCCTGCCGCATGCGTGCTCTTTGAATAAGATCCTAGCTATGTTGGTGGAGGGAGCAGGGTGGCCGCTCCGTGGTGTTGGTTTTACTCAGTGGAGGCCAGGGAATAATGTCCTATAAGTACCGATTGTCAGGCTGGTTTATGTTGTCTTTGGAATTCTTGGATTTGTCAGTCATTAAGGGCAGTGAGGTTGATCACTTTTGGTGTTAAAGAGATTATTGTTGGATAGAGTGGATATGCATGCACCTATGAAGGTATCATGCTTGTCAGCATTATCAGTGTTTAAGGAATCTAGTTTTATGAATATTTCCTGTTTGCTTTATCGGTCATCACATTGTAAGCTGCAACTGGTCAGAGATATTTTTCTAACTTGCAAGTGCATCTCCCAATATTTTTGTCATGATGATTGATCCAAATACCAGAAAGAACTTACTGACAGTGAACTTTTCATCTGCACAGAAAACCTCCAAAGTGGGCGTTCGGAACCAGGTGGGAATCGGATGGTTTTCTCCCAGCCGGATATGTCAGTTACCTCCCTTGTAGGACCTGAGGATGGCGCTGTTCTGAGTCCTAACACATGCTGTATTTGTAGAGAGGAGTTTAAATGTAGCGACGATATGAACAAACATGTGATCACCCATATGGACATAGAAGAACACCCAAGGTGCCTCTTCGAGGATTGTGGTGTGAGATTCGACAGTGATAAGCTTCTTCAGGAACACATTGTTAATCTCCATCGTAATGACAGGCCTCAGTTTTGTCCTGGGTGCTCGAAGCAGTTCCACTTCAAGACGAGTTTGATGGAACATGCTCGCACGTGTCCGAGTTTCATGAAAGTTAGGCTGCCGGAGAAGAAGAAGAATGCCCAGTGTGATGAGTGTGGGAAGTTCTTCGCATCCCGACAGTTGAAGGAGGAGCATGTGAACTCACAACACAGAGGGGTCATTTTTGCCTGCAGCTGTGGCCAGACATACGCCTACAGAACTGGCCTGGCTAGACACAGGAAATCCACTGGGCATTTGCCTCTAAGACCTAAGTTACAAGTTCTTGAGTAGGAATGTCTTTGAAGGAGGAATAGGGTCTGTCAGACCTAGATTACAAATAAAGGATTGAATATATTCATTGTGTGTTACCAAGCAAGGTATGACTGAGAAACAGTGTTATACAAGTGTTATATACACCTGGAAAAAAATTAAGCACCATAGCTTTCTTATTTTTATATATCCTGAACTTCCAGTGTTCAATTTTTCCAGGGGTGTATATGCTGAAGAACTGTTTGTGACATTTGGGAAAATTGAGACAAGGCAATGACTGGAACCATAACTCCTGGTTGCAGATCAGATTTATTTCAATGAGGACTTTGATAGACTCAGTTAGCCAAACTATTCCCCCATTTCAGTGCCAGTGATAAACATGGACTTGTTTTCATGTTGTGATCAATGTTTGAGATTCTTCCATGAAACCTGATGAGTAGTTTGGTTGTTGGATCCAGTGACATTTTGTTTTGATGATGCAATTACATTGTCGATGTGCCCGGTGTGGAACTGACTTCTCATTCTCAATAGTTTTTCTGCATCAGTCTGTTTCTTCATACAGGAATGTGTTTCTTAAGCATTAATGTACATAAGGACAAGTACAAGTAATTTTTATAGAGTATCATCTCAAATAAACCTCGTATCTAATCCTGAAGAACATGAGTTTTATGTTTTTTGTTAAATCCTTCATAGGTTGACATTAATGATTGATTCCACAAGTGATTGATTCTCATTTGCCAAACTTGTCCTAAGATGGGCAGATTTACAGTAGAGGCAAAGGTTTTATTGTCAAGTCAAGAGACTATAAAATTTACAAAACACTTTCTTGTATTCTTGTTGCAGTCGTATGACGAGTACTTAAGCTCTTCTACCAGTATCATTTCCTGGTGCTGTTGGTGTTGACACACCCCTTTGAAAATGTAGATTAACAGCCATTGTGTTTGAAGGCATGTCATCTTGGTTTGCTCTTGTTAGATTTGTGCATGAAGTTAAGCAATACATTGTTCTTCGATATTCTGTATGGAAATGTCGTCGATGGGATCTGGAATCTTAATTTCCTATGACTAATGAAGGCCGATCCGAGACACCCCCAGAAGTAGTACTCACTGTAGCTTGCCTTTGTGAAGATTTGTCAGTTGAAGGATTTTTCTGGTGGTCTTTCAGATTGGGATGATGTGACTGAAGGCAGTAAAAGGGCTAGCAGTAATTGTCCAAAGTCCACTGCCCCCAAATCAGCAGTGGCGGGTGTCCAGTACACTGGACAAGGCAAGGCTCCCCATGCCTCAACTCCACATCACTTGCCTAAACGGGATGGAGGAAGGTCTGGAGGGCCTAGAACCAGACACGTCTTGTCTACCCCTCCTGATCGTCAGAACATACCCAAGTCCATTGAGAAAGAGAAGCCTATACCAGACATGCAAGGCTCACCCCAGTCAAGTCTGGAAGATTATGATACAATTGAGGTGTTGAATATCAGCACGGAGGGCAGGAGTAAGAAGGTGTTTGTTTACTCAAAGAGCGTGCCCAATAGCGATGCTCCTGAGAGAGTTACGTTTGAACCTGACACAATCTTAAAGCCCTTTTCTGCATCAGAACATGCATACAGCAGGGGGGAACACAGTACACTGAAACATCAGACCCCATCAAGCAGGAAGGAGGATACAGCCCAAACGGCCCAAGCTGCAGAGGAGAGTCCAGTTCCACCAAAGGTCCTCAGCATCATTGTCAATGGCGAAGTGATGTTTTCTTGTTCAGTCTGTGGGCATGTGTCCCCAAAGATATCTGAAATAGATCAGCACATCATGGCTGCTCACAATAAGATCCCTGTCCAGCAACTCACAGGGTCATCTTCGTCCGTTGAAGACTGTTACAAATACAGCAAGTCACATGGTTGGTGGACTTTCAGTTGCTTGCTGTGTACTCACATTGAACATGACCAACGCAACATGGTGAGGCATGTACAGTACATGCACTTCGGCAACAAGTGCAGTGAGGCTGCTCCTGTGACGACGTCTTGCTCTGCTCTACCAATTAAAGAATCTAGTTCTGGTTTGAAAAAAAGCCCAGTGGTCAGGCCACCATTGAAATCTGTCCTGATGGCCAAAGATCGAAAAGCAGCGACAGTTCAAAATCGCCAAGTAGATGATCGTGCGAGGTTCAACTGTTACACGTGTGATTATCACACAAACAGAAAAAGCCACTTTAATCGACACGAGATGAGTATTATGCATTTAAAGTTAAAAAGTGAACAAAGAGGTAAGACGAAACTTCCTGAAAAGAAATCCCATGAGAATATATTAGCAAAGAAGTGTTACCGTTGCCGTAATTGCAAATATTCTTGTACTAGCGAGTCCAAGTTGAATGTCCATAAACTTGTTCATGTTGATAGTTCTCGGAAATGTATGATCTGCAAGAGAGCGTTCTATAGCAAGTTTCATCTCCGACAGCACAACGAAGCCAAGCATCCAGAGAAGAGAAAAGTAATACTGGAAAAAAAGAAATCCAAAACTACTGGTGCTGAAAAGTCCACGTCATCTGAAGGAAGTTCTTCTAACAAGCTGATCTGTGGCATTTGTAGCCAGACTTTCTCCCAGAGAAGGGATCTGCAGGAACACGTACTCACACACTTGCCGAAAGTCCATCGTTGTGAACTCTGTAATAAACGTTTTGCCTTCAGTCAGGCGTTGATAAAACACAGACTGGTTTGCACGGAGAAAGACACTTCTGATGAGCCTAAAATTGAAATTGACAAAGCTGAAGAGAATTCAGAAATTGAAGATGCGGAAGAGAATTCAGAAATTGAAGATGCGGAAGAGAATTCAGAAATTGAAGATGTTGAAGAGAATCTGGAAACCGAGGATGTTGAAGTAAATCCCAAACCTGCTGGGGTTGAGACGGTTGGTTTGCCTGCAGCTCCCAGTGAACTGTTGGATGTTCGGATTAAGGAGGAGCCAAGAGTAGACCAGAGCTGTATTTGAACTGGTCTTGTTGAAGTTGGGGCGGTCGTGTAGCCTAGTGGTTAAACGCGAAGACCCGGCTTAGATTCCCGACATGAGTACAATGTGTGAAGCCCATTTCTGGTGTCCCCTGCTGTGATATTGATGGAAGATTGCTAAAAGCGGCGTAAAATCAAACTCACTCACTCACTCACTCACTCTTGTTGATGTTTCGTGATGGTCTCAAACCTGTCAGTTTGTCTGAAAACAGGAGGCAGTGTATTTCTAATGTCAATACTGGGTCAGTCTGTCATGATATAAGTACAGAAGAATTTCATGTAAGGAGGTTTTACCTTGCTCTGAGCAAATATGATTTAAATGTACAGCAATAGAAACTAACAGTCAGTCCTTCTAAGGTAACAATATGACAGATAGGGTGGTCCTTAACTTTTTTTTGAGTAGGACATATGATGAAAGACTTTTGGGGTTTATGTGGCTTTTAATAGTTAAGCTTTGTATCTTGCACACTGGGGGCGGTCGGGTAGCCTAGTGGTTAAGGCCTTTCGCTCGTCACGCCGAAGACCCGGGTTCGATTCCCGACATGGGTACAATGTGTGAAGCCCATTTCGTGATATTGCTGGAATATTGCTAAAAGCGGTGTAAAACCATACTCACTCACTCATTCTTGCACACTGACATGTTCATCTTTGAAATGCCTTGAGGATTATGGAATCATACTTTGGTTGCACAATTTATTTGTTTCTGTGGACTGATTAGCAACACAGATGAATTTTTCTTTGCATGGTTTTGTTGAGCGTCGATTTACAAAGATTATTTTTCAAGGTTCTTGGAAAACAAGTTGAAATTGGTGCAACTCGTGTTCTATATAGGACTGCGTTTTGTATATATGTTGCTATTAAGACACTATTGCCATTGGTTTTTTTGATAATATTTGCATAAATATGCGTTTTTGTAAATACCTTTCTGTTCTGATTTGAGACTGTTTGTTTAGTGTGGGGTACTTATGAGATGCTAGTACAGCGGTCTCTGAATAAGTCACTGGACAATCCCCAGGTCCTACGTCTGGGATAAAACATTGCTCCTTTTGAATCAAGCAGTGTTTGAATATTAGGGTTCCTGGCGTCCTTGAGGTATTCTCCTATTTTCATTTCAGTTAAGAAATGAGAAGGACTTCTATACTTATATACAGAAAAATTGATATGATAATCAAGTCTGGACCAGTCAAACAAGTGACTAATACCATGAGCAGCATCCCATGCCATTGGGGGGCGATCGGGTAGCCTAGTGGTTAAAGCGTTCATTCGTCATGCCAAGAACCAGGGTTCGATTCCCGACATGGGTACAAGGTATGAAACCCATGCCTGGTGTCCCCCCTCATGATATTGCTGGAATATTGCTAAAAGCGGCGTAAAACCATACTCACTCACTCACTCACCATGCCATTGTCTTGAACAATGATCATATTTTCCTGGAGACATATTCTAACCCTGATATCCCATAAGTACTAAAGAAAATCCACTTTCCCTTTCTTATTATATTTTGGTTTTGCCAACCACTCATTACATTTTTTTAGGAATTGCAAGTTACTTAAACAAGTACCTGAAACAAAGCTCAGCACGGGTGGCCCAGTTGTCTAAGGCGCCGCGATTCGCTGTTCAGAGTTGCGTCCCTTGGGCACGCCAGAAACCTATGATTGTGCGTTCGAATCCCGGTTCTCCCCGATTATGTTTCTAGGTTTGTCAGCACCATACCAAAGCGGCGTTAAACCAAACTCACTCCCTCACTCACCCACTCACTCTTGCTCAGCATCAAGGTTTCAAATTAATTCAAAGCTAAGGACAGATTGTGGTTAGAGGTTTAAGACACCTGCAATGATAGCAAAAGATAGAACAATTAAACATGGGCAAGATCGTGAACATGTCTAGTGTTGAAACAAACAAAACTCATTGTTATACAGTTAACATGGATTGCTACAAGAAACTATGAGGGGCGGTGGGGTAGCCTAGTGGTCAAAGCGTTTGCTCGTCACGCCCAAGACCTGGGTTCGATTCCTCACATTGGTACAATGTTTGAAGCCCATTTCTGTTGTCACCCGCCATGGTATTGCTGGAATATTGCTAAAAGCTGCAAAAACCATACTTATTCACTTATTGAGGAATCTATGAAGTGCTTTGATTCATGTATTTCTTTTCTTGTGTTTTTTGTTGTTGACAATTGTGATGAAATAAAATATGAACTGCACAACAGGGTTTCTTTCTTGACTTGTAGAGTTTGGAATGTTAAGTCACACAAGCTATTTTTTCCAGGTAGCCAGTGGTAAAATCAAGAAGTCAAGCTCATATTGTAGGTAGCCAAAGCATTTGAAATTATCTTTATCAATTAACTATCATGATATGTACAAGTTACAGCACTTGTCTTGAAATTGTATCTTAATGGAAACTACTTGAATTTTGCTACTTGTGACTTGAACAATGATGCAATTTATGTTGCTAGATTATAAAGGTATATCCTCGCTCATCCAATGAGCATTGTAAACTGAAATAAAGTATGAATTACATTAATTTTTATGTATTTTGGTTCATTGTTGACTTTAGAAGGAATTATTTGCAAGTAGTATGATTAGCAGTTGTTTTCCAATATCAACTGTTATTTATTTTTGTGTCTACAGATGTGTAGCAATAGAGTCGCCACAAGATATTTTTCTAGGTAGTCATTTGGCTACCTCTGAATTTTAGACAGTAGACAAACTGAAATTTAGGTCGCATTGGCTACCGTTTTAGTCGCAACTTTGAGGCCTGTGCTCTATTTTGCCCATTTTCTATCTGCATCCGACATGGTAAACTTTGGCTCCATGGATTTAGGATAATCATTAACAGATTGATATGCATTATAAAGTGTGAGTGGTGTTTGAAAGACTGATGTCAAACTTGAGCAATCAACTTGCATGAACCATGCCCCACCCACCCACCCACATGCTGAAAGAAGCCTGCTCATAATTTCACCTAATTGTTTACCCATGGCGATATAAGTTAAACTGTGGAAGGTAAACATTGGAAAGAAAAGTCCAAATTGAGTTTTTATGCCTTTCAGGTTTCCATGGTTTTGGCCGTTCAGAGTCGCTTCCCAGTTCATTGCAGGGGTTTTCCTCCCCATCGTCAGTGAGCCTAGAGCAGTATGCTGGACAGGCTCAGTGGGCCCGACCAAGCCCCACCAAGAAGGCTTACCAATGTCCACAGTGCGATAAGGTCTTCAGCAAGAGCTGTGGACTGTTCTATCACAGGAAAGCTATACATGAGAACATCATTTACACTTGTGTCTGTCAGAGAACATACAAATATAAGCCAAACCTTGTCACACATCAGAAGAAATGTGTTCTGCATTTGGCTCAGCTTCAGTAGGAAAGATGACTGATTTATTTAAGAACATTGCAGCTCTGAAGTTTCTGGTCCTCGGCCAAATATTTTAAGAACATTGCAGTGCTGAAGTATCTGGTCCTCGGCCGAATATTTTAAGAACATTGCAGTGCTGAAGTATCTGGTCCTCGGCCGAATATTTTAAGAACATTGCAGTGCTTAAGTATCTGGTCCTCAGCCGATTATTTTAAGAACATTGCAGTGCTGAAGTATCTGGTCCTCGGCCGAATATTTTAAGAACATTGCAGCGCTGAAGTATCTGGTCCATGGCTGATTATTTTAAGAACATTGCAGTGCTGAAGTATCTGGTCCTCAGCCGAATATTTTAAGAACATTGCAGTGCTGAAGTATCTGGTCCCCGGCCGAATATTTTAAGAACATTGCAGTGCTGAAGTATCTGGTCCCCAGACGCATATTTTAAGAACATTGCAGCGCTGAAGTATCTTCTCAGCCATCTGTTTTCTATGAGCTGACATTGAAATGACAAACACACGAGCTGGGCAACAATGTTTTTTGCATACTCAAGAATTGTCTGATATCGTCATGGATGAAATGCCTTTGCATATTGTGTGGGCTACAGTGCTACTTGTGAGGTATTGATGACTTGTGAAGGAAAAATTCCATATTCAGGGATAATTCTAGGGTTGGACCATGTGCTTTTAGCCCCTAAATTTAAAAAAAAAGGCCCACAGTTTCAAACACAATGGGGCATTTTAACATTGTGCTGTATGGGCAAGTGTGGGTGTACCTCTGGAATATTTGAAATTTTCACATAAGGGCCCGTGTCAGAAAATATCTAGAGTGAACTCTGCATATTTGACATGCAGCTCCCCTAATTTCGACCAATTCATGTCTATATAAAGCAAATATTGTCACTTGCACAAAAAGGGAATTTGGATAATGTATTCATGATTTCAGTATTTACATCACTTAAAATATCATGGTAGATCATCACTTTCTTCATGGAGTTTATGAGGTAGTAATGATAATGGTATTACTATTCCTGTCGTGAAGACATCAGTGCAATGCAAAGACAAGTTTGTCCAAAAAAAACCAAAAGAACATGGCAATTAAGGTATTATTCTGAACATGACCTACAGAGATCATATTCAAGCTTGGATGTCTTCACAATGTTACCAAAACTGGTTACTGGAATAACACAATCTATGCAGTTGCTCCTGCGTGGACACACTCAACCATTTAACTCAACCCATCTCCACACTGCAACATAAATCACAGCTTGTACAAGGGGTCACGGGTGGCCCTATTATCTAAGGCGCAGCGATTCTCTGTGCAGAGTTGCGTCCCTTGGGCACGCCAGAAACCTATGATTGTGGGTTCGAATCCCGGTTCTCCCCGATTATGTCTCTAGGTTTGTCAGCACCATACCCGTGCTCGTGGGTTTCACCGAAGTGGTAATCGTCTGAGACCTGCATCACTTTGGGCTTTCCTCCCACACTAAGCTGACACGCCGTGATATTACTGGAATACTGTTAAAAGCGGCGTTTAAAACCCAACTCACTCACTCACTCACTCACTCACTCACTCACTCACTCACTCACTCACTCACAGCTTGTACATGTGACCTATTCTGCTGTCGGGTCAGAGGAAGTGGAATATAGAAGTCAGGGCTGGTGCGGTAGCCTAGTGGTTAAAGAGCTTGCTTGTCATGCCAAAGACCCAGGTTCGATTCCCGACATGGGTACAATGTGTGAAGCCCATTTCTGGTGTCCCCTGCCGTGAATGTGCTGAAATATTGCTAAAGTGGCAAAACCCACACTCGCTTGCTGGTATGAATCAAACACAATAACTTTATTAAATAAGGGATAAAAGAAACTCTTATCATGAGACCTGACACTACCCAGTTGATATTCTTTTGCTTCACCGAAAGGTTTAGGCTTATTTTAGTCTATCATACATTTGTGTTTGTTTGTTTTGTTTGTTGTTTAACACCGCACTCAGCAATATTCCAGCTATATGACGGCGGTCTGTAAAATAATCGAATCTGGACCAGACATCCAGACAACTGACATCATGAGCATCAATCCACTCATTCGGGATACAGTGACATACATCAACCGAGTCAGTGAGCCTGACCCACCAATCCCGTAGTCGCCTCTTGAAACAGCTTTCTTACAAGACGTGTTCAGCTCTGTCTCCAATGTACCATGAAATAAATGAGAATTGAAATCAACTTCTCAACTACAAAATGATTTTTTTTTTCTCCGTTGCAGGATTTGGCAGTATAAGAAGTTTTGGCAACTCGAATTTTCAAGTGCGACCTTTTCGGAAAATACCCAGTGCATTTCACTCAGATATTCCAGAAATTATTTCAAACTTAGAGCACTCATGTGGTCAGGCTTTCTATAGAGATCATATTCCAGCAAACAAGAAATTATATCCCTGCACCAAATGTGACAAAGTGTTTAAGGATAGAGGGGGCCTATACAACCACACCAAGGCACTGCATGAAAACTTGGTGTTTGCCTGCGTCTGTGGGAAAGCCTATACATACCGGACTAGTCTTGTCACACACAGGAAGTCGTGCCCCATGTGCACGGGTCAGCAGGGCTGACAGGTTGTCAGTCATCAACTGACACTCTGTATTGGATCTGCCAATGCCAGCATTGACAAGACACGTCCAGGCTTGTATGAGATGAGGTCGAAGTCTTTCAACAGCAACCGGCATCCTTGTTCGTGTCTGGATCTGTTGGGAAGAGGTTCTGATGATGTCAATTGTTTGGAGTGCATCCGTCTATTTTCCTTCCTGCATTGTAGGCTGTTTACATATTTAAGGAATATACATGTATGTCAACACCTGCATTTCTACTCGTGTTCAAAATGGTCGTTGAGGTCTTGAGTTGGTTTTGAATTTTGATGAACACAAATAGTTTAATCAGGGCACAAATTGATTATCTAAAAGGCATTGATATCACTGATGGGACCATTTAGAATTCACTTTATCATGACTGCTATCAGTCAGTGAAAAAATGCCTGCAAGTACAACTTAGATTTTTTTCTTGATTTCAGATAATCTTGGTATTGGCAATTTAGCAAGCCTTATTGACGTTGGACCTTCGAGACTCTATGCTGTGTCTTCAGATAGAGACAATTTCAACTTGCAAAATCTATTGCGACAAAGTTTTACTGACAAAAGCTTCGAGACACATAATAAAAGATTATATCCCTGTAAGCAATGTGATAAGGTGTTCAGAGACAGAGGGGGCCTGTACAACCACAAGAAGGCACTCCATGAGAACCTGGTGTTCAAGTGTGTGTGTGGAAAGTCCTATACGTACAGGACTGGACTGGTCTCGCATAGAAAAGTGTGTCGCTTTTATGCGGAATATTCAGTGTCAAATCCAGAAGAAAATTTGAACATTTGTCAATGAGGGCATAAGCTTGCAAATATACTGATAGACACGAATAAGGGAACAATGAGAAATATAGGGACATAAGCTTTACTGTCAGTACATTTGAAATCGCGGCATATAAATTCAACACATGTCAGAATCCAATGTTTAGATGTGTTTGTGTGCATTGATTACAAAGCGTATTTGGTAAACAAGGCTGGGAACCCTTGATAGCAGATCATTTTACTGTGTCTATAACTAAGAGTGTTCCCTTATTTATTTCTATCAGTATATTACAAAGTTTGAAATTAGGAGTGAGTAATGAGGGCCATGTCATGAACCAAGTCAAAATTTAGAAACTTGGGCGTTCCCTAGATACAAATTTTATATCCTCTAACCTTGAAGAACCCAGGACCCTGTCTAATTTAACACTGATCTAGCTTTTATGATCATGTCAAGTTCTTGGAGATGTCATCAAAGTGAATACTACGTGTGATTTCAGTTCAGTTAAGTCATCACACTTGATTGAATCGGCCTTGGTGTCATGAAGTAAAAAAATGTTTTCAGTTGGTTCAAGAACTCTGTGAAACACTGTTCACCTTTATCGTATAGTTTACCATCAAAATGAAAGGTACTGGAAGAAAAGGACTATTCATAGAAAAGGACTGAGCTTTATGTAACATTTGATTAAAAACATTTCATGCTGGCGATGGATTTCCAAAATTGGCTTTTTGTTACTTTCAGGTTATGGTATGGGAAGGTCAAGGTCAGAATATGCAGGAAGCTCAGGCCAGGGTTACCTCCCTTTCTATGATAGTGCAGTTGTTTCGTGTAACCAGGGCTTGATGCCGTTAAGACCTGAGAAAAAGAGAAAGCTTTACAAGTGTCCCCTCTGTGATAAGTGTTTCCGTGATAGTTCAGGTGTCTACTATCACAAGAAGGCTATACATGACAACACTGAGTATAACTGTATGTGTGGGAAGTCGTACCGATACAGCACAGGACTTGTGATTCACAGGAGAAAATGTTCACTGTATCTCTCACAGATGGGGCAAGGTTAATCATAATTATGGTTTAAAGGATCCTATAATATTCAAGTTCTGTCAGTTGGGGATATTTGTTGCTCAGGAACTGTTG